TCTGTGCCGGTGAGAAAGTGCACGTCCACCATCATCTGCTCCTCCTATCAAGCCCGTCAGCCGAGACTTGACACCAACAGGAAGCCAGTCATTTTGGTGTTCCTCTAGTTACTAGGGGAACACCAAAATGACTGGCTTCCTGCTGGTGTCCCCTGTGAAACCAACGAAAAAGGAGTCCACCCTTTTGAAAAACTCCCACTTGAGGATTGAGTAGCCAGAAAAGGAGTTGGCAGCATGTTGCATCATTTTGTTAAGGCATCCAACATGCCAAGCACGTACCAACCCCATCTCTGGGACACCGGATCAGCATCAGCTCGCAATGCGGATCTGTCCTTTCTCGTTTTGCTGTCGCGCAACAAGGTGTGCAAAAAAATCCCAAGCGAAAACCATTTGGCCGTGCAAATCATTTGGGGGGGGTCCATTTGGAGGTAGAAAATAACCCCGGGAGTTCCTAAGAAATCAACCGCTGGGGTTGGCTCGGCTCAGTTGGACTGACTGTGACATATATCTGTAAGTCATTCCGCGTTTTCAAACCGACCGTGAGAATTGTTGGGGACAAAGGCGGTTTACGGGGAAGCAACAGGAACACCACCTCCCCCCCCCCCTCCTCCTCCCATTTTGACACATATCAAGAAAGAGAGCCCCGAACAATGTTCTACGACACCACCCCGGACGATGCCTCGTTCTTGGGCCTCTTCCGGAGGAAGCGCTCTATGGTCTCTTTGGTCACCTTGACATCTTGGTCCAATAAAGTGACTGGAAAATACCCTCGGAAGGGTGGTTTCAAGGAAAAAAACGCAATCCCACCCAAGAAAAGTTGAGAGGTTCGCCCCTCAAAATGCCACCACCGGTCCATGTTCCTGACGATCCACCAGCGCAGAGGGAGGGCGCACGGATAACCATCACGCTTCGAAAGGGCACCGGGAGGTTTTCGCGCTGAAACCCCCCGATGCCGAAAGTGGCAAAGGCCTATGATTGATGTAAACTTGTGAATCTCAAAAAAATAAAAAGGTTGATTCACTGTCGGGTCCCATTTTTGACAGGGATTCTGCACCACCTACTCTGATTCCAAATTGGAACTCTTCGTTGGGAAGTGTTTCATCATGGAAACCCGCTCCATATGGGAGTCCTTCTTCCCCTTAAGCCAACCTGAACAGGGCACCGGGCACCACCCCCCAAACTGGTGGTTTTCAGGCTGGGTTTCCCTTGACCTACCCAGTTTTCTGGGGCACCGAGCCTAGGAAAAGGGGGACCAACGTGGGGTGGGCCGGGAAATAGGGTGGGGGTGGGGTGGGGTGGAGCCTCTTCAGAGCCCTTCTGACAGGCCCCCCGGCGCTGAGGATCCGAAACTTCTGATCCGTGTCCAGCGTCACTCGCTGCTGAGACCTCGATCCAATTCTTTTCAGACCCGGTGGATAGCTCCCGGCACGCTTGACCAAGGTGGAAGAACTGATCTTCCATTTGCTTCCCCCTGGAAGAAAACAATCCAGTAGTGATAGATTCCCTTTAAACCCAGGAGGAAAAAAGAAAGAATATTCTTAAGCAAATAGAGGTTCTGCAATGAATTTCTGCTTGAACCTCCAAAGTGGTTGGACCTGAATCCCGTCTTTGATGCCCAGCTTTGCCGGGCCGCTGCCAGCGGCCGCAACAAAGCGAGGGAGAAGCAGGACCAAGATGTGGATTCCGATGAATCTCATTGGAGAAGAAAACGCTCAAACATGGTGGTGGTTGTAGTGGGTGGTGGTGGTGGTGGGTGGTGGTGGTGTGCATAAATCATTTCCCAAGTCTTGCTGATGTCCAAAGGCTCCCGAATGAAAATTCACTGCCACGCCCCCCCACCCTCTTGGCCCCCGCAGATTGAGGGAAGGACTCCCCCCAACCAAAAAAAGAAAACGTTTGCAGAATCCGCATCCCAACCCAACATGTGACCTCCAAAATTGAGCGTAGCCGCTTCAGCTCATCGTATTGCTGCTTCTCCTGGGCATACTCGTCGTTGCCTCAGGTCAGTTCGGCACTTTTCTTGGGCTCTTAGGATCAGACGCCACCAGGAGCAATGTGAGGTATGGCTATGTTCCCCCCCTCCTGGCGAACGGCAAACGCTCATCTTGAACGCAACTGATCTGACCATCCCCAGCAAAACCGAGTCCGCAAACCCGTTTGGCTGCCAGTTAAGCTGTTGGTCTCCGTGTTGAAGGGCTGAACAATGCAAGCCTCACTGGCAAGTGCTTACCTCCATTCCACTCGTTTGTTCGTTGGCACCAAGAAAAATGTCCATCCATACCCCCCCCTGGTAGTGGACCCTAGAATGGCTGTCTGAAGTCCTGTCCCGGGTCCCGCAGCCCAAGTAAGGGTGTTTGAAGCGTTGCACAGTGGGTGTGTGTGTGTGTGGCAAAATAAGGGGGCCCAACTTTCCCTTTGATTTACCAACTCCAAAAGAAACACACACACACACACAGGGGGGTTGCCAAGAACAGGGTCCAATAGTTAGAATTTGCCAGGCACTGCGCTGAGGTTCCGGGCACTCCTTCAGCCGATTCTGCAGCTCCAGCATCTCAAACTGCTCCTAGCGGTTGCACAGGAAACCAGCCCGCAACACAAAAAAAAATGTCTTCAGGGACTTAAAAAAAAAAAAAAAACTCGCACCCGAGGAAATCGACTAAAACAAGAGAAGCTGGGTTCCATCATGTCAAGACAAAGCAATGAAAAACGACAAGTCAAGAAGATCACACCCACCATTGGTAGGGCTTCATCTATGTCCCGGCACGGGCACCGCCCGCCTTTTGCAGCATCTTGTTCAGCTCCACCTGGCGCGTTGATCGCTCCCCCATCGGGGGGGGGGGCATTGGAAGGCGCTCGAAGTCACTCGACTCGAGATCTCGGCCTCCTCTTTCTTCATCCTCCTCTGCTGCTCCTGCCATGAGACTCCCCCAAACCCTATCTGAGTCCCTTGATCCCTACAAGCTACACGTCTGGGATACGCCAAAAGTCTAGAAGCCCTATCTTAGTTCCTTGATCCCTGGCTACAAGCTTACACTTCTGCGCCAAAAGTCGAAAACGGTCTAAGCCTGCTAAAAACCACAAAGGTATCAACTGGATTTCGGGGTTGTGGGCTGCGACTCAGAGTTCGGGTTCGGGTGGACGGGTCGACAAAAACAAAGCCGTTGAGGTCTAGGCACCCTTTGTCTGGTGGCTTTAAATCGAGCATCAACGGAAAATACTCAGTTGCCCAAAGGACCTGGAAATAAAAGGCTAACCTTTTGGGACCATGACTAAAAATGGACCAAAACGAGAAAACCAAAAGGTTAAAAGGTCGGCTTTGGGCAACTGAGAATACCGTTTTGTGGGTCCCCTATTCAAAGTTCACAAAAGCGCCCGCCAGCCAAGGGGACGCAAGGATAGCTCGCAACATCGCACTCGTCTCTTCCCTCAAACCCTCCCAAGCCTCCCAAGCCTCCCAAGCCTCCCAAGCCTCCCAAGCCTCTCAAACCCTCACAACCTCCCAACGCAAAAAGTGGGCCATGGCAGAAACCGGCCACCTCCCTCCAACCCCCACCACCCACACACCACCCACCCACCCCCACCAACCCACCTCCCCCTTCTCCCCAACCCACCCCTTCTCCCCCTTCTCCCCTCTTCTCCCCTCTTCTCCCCCTCTTCTCCCCCTCTTCTCCCCCTCTTCTCCCCCCCTTCTCCCCCTTCTCCCCGCGCCAAAACAAACCCGCCCACCCCCGCCACCTCCCCCCACCCCTCCCCCGCCCAACTTCCGCCGCCTGCAGCTGCTCGGACTTGGTGATCCGCTCCAGCGGCCTCCCAGTCTCGTCGAAGCCCTCCACCTGGCGCGAAGCGGAGCTCCACTCGCCCGGCAGGCCGGAGGAGCTCGTGTTCAGCCCGGGTGACACCCCACCCCCCCCTGGAAAAAAAGCGGGAAAACAATAATAACAAATAAATAATAATAACAATAATAATAAGAAGAAGAAGAAGAATAAGAATAAGAATAAGAATAAGGACAAAAAGAGGACATACCCCCCCCCCCCACAGAAAAAGACTAGGACAAAGAGGACGGGTGTTTGCTTCATTTTTGGCGGGAGGGGCCTTCAGCCCGCCACAAATATAGAAAAGAAGGGATCCGAATCTTCCAAGAAAGAAAAGTGGATCCCAAGTTGTCTGGACCATTCTGCAATTCCTTTAAACCTGGAGAAAACAGTTAGAAGGGGGCCCTTCCCCGGTTCAACCAGAAGGAATTCTCCCCACTCGCAGCCGAGAAAAAAAGGCGGCCGGCAAACTGCGGCGAGGCCGCCCATTCCTTCCTCACCGCCTCAATCTCCGCCATGGCGGCGGGCGACGGATGCGAAATCAGCCCTTCTCGATGGGAAGGCAACGAGGAAAGGCACGGGCGCCGGGTGGGTGGGTCCGGGACTCTTGAAACAACTCGTTGGCTACAAAACTCCACGGAGAAAAAAAAAACACTGCAAACTTTTACTATTTGGCCCGGACAAAAAGATCCACAGACGTGCATCTCATGTCAGCTTTGTAGCCATTCCGGGAGCAAGAAAGAGCCGGCCGGCGGGGCAGGGTAGCACAGGGCTTTCTGGAGCTTGCGCCTCATTCAAGTTGAATCGGATCGCAAAACCCGTCGCTGTCCAGGACATGTTTGCCAAGAATGGTTTTCCCTCTCCCCAAACCACTACCTTTAGAGGTTTGATTGGATGTGCCACCACGTTCAAGCCACAAGAAGGGAAAAGGCCCATTTTTTCCCTGAATTGGTGGAAGATTTGGGGCGCCCTCTCGTTGGGGGAAATCCACATTCATGTGGCGAAGGTGCAGGTGGATGCATGCTCACATCTGCCGTCAAAAGCTGAACAAAAGAAAAACGATGGACCTGGGTGAAATTTGAAATTAGAGTCCATTGTTCCTGGTTTGGACAAGTTCAAACAGTGTCAGCATGCCCCTCCAGATTCACCAGAGAATCTGCTGTCGACCCAATCTCACACGCCCCCCACCTGTAGATGATGAGAGCACCCACCAGGATGTCCCATCGCAGCTTCCAACTGCAGTGCACATTGCTCACGCCTCTTGTCTTACCATACGGACAACACTACCTTCTTTCCCAAGGAGCGCAAAGGTAAATAGGGGCGGTCCCCTTTTTGTGGTGCCCCCCCCCCCCATGTCCTCCCGAACAATTTATCTTGGCAGTTGCATGGTCAATGTATCATTATGTCCATGTCCCATGGTCATAGATCCCCAACACAGTACCCCTCCTTAATCTCGAAACTCCCTATCAAAAGATGATGAACATCCTTACCAACCCCAAAGAAAAGGGTGTTGACAACCATGCCTGGACAGAAGTCGTAGACGTTGTCAATCAAAAACTGGCAAGCCCTGAAGCCAAAGGGGTTACTTTCCGCCGCCCCCACCCTCTAAATGTTTTGGTTGTTTCTCCAGTGGGGCGGGGGGGGGTTATCTGTCTGAAGAAAAGGGCGCCTCTCTCTCTTCCCAGGTGAGCAACAGCTGATTGCCCCGCCCCCCCAGCGCTTCGCCAAGTTATCCTCAAAATCTCAGAGAAACCGTGGACGAGATCCACCAAAACGCCGCCAGTTGGGATGCATGAAACCCTATGAGTACTGAAGAAGACAAGAAACCCCTCAACTTTACCATCTGCAAACATGGTTTTGTGGTTACGTATGTTACTTTTGCCATGATTAAAACATGGTTTTGCGGTTGAATACTCTGCTTTACCATCTTTTCACATGCTTGTGCCGTGGAAACCTCTGCTTTGCCATGATTGGGCATGGGTGTCTCACTAAGTATTCTACTTTGCCGTCTTGTAACCTGGCTGTGTGGTGGAGTACTCTACTTCACCATGATTTACCATGGTTGTGTGGTTGACTAGTCCATGTTACCATGATTTAACATAGGTTTGTGGTTGCGTATTCTCCTTGACCATAACTTGCCATAGGTGTGTGGTTAAGCATTCTACTTTGCCACGTTGTTTACACGGCTTTGTGGATGAGTCTTCTACGTTGTCATGAGCTAGCTGTGGTTTTGTGTTTGAGCATGGATAATTTACCATGATTCAACATGGTGGTCGCAGTTGAGTATGGTTGGCCACTCCGTGAATGTCCAGGGTTTTGTGTGGGTGGACGAAATCCAGTTCGCACCACCTAAAAAACCCGATGATACGATTCCCCCAAAAAAATGGCCAACACATCTTATGGTTTCAACCATGGCAACTCATTTCGTGCTGCGACTGGATTCCGCAACCATCCGTATGTTGGGCATCCGCCGTAGCCCCAGGCCGATAGCTCGGGGGGATGATGTACCGCTGCAAGAGGCAGTCCTGGCACAGACGAGCACTCCAAACGCTCCAAACTTTGGCTGAGGAAAAAATGGGCCCTGTCTCAACATAGGGCATCCCCAGCAAAAATGTGGCTTTCCCTCTGGTGTCCCTTTAAAACAGCCCGAAACCGGGTACTCTCCACAAAAAGACACACGTTGGTTTTGACAAGGCAAGGCCCGTCGAAACCATGCACCTCCGTCTCCTCTGTCATCTCAATTTGGCCGGATGGTCCCAGCCTGCGGCAGGCTCAGCTGGAACCCGTTCGCCCAAAAAACAAATAGATGTGTCTAAAAATAGATTTCGGACCCTGGTTTTTGTGGGGAAACCAAAAAAAAACCATTGCCCTGGTGGAAAATGGACCCCTATTTTGAGAAACTCCCAAGTGAGCCCGAGCTTCAACCTCCGGCCATTGTATCTCGCCTTTCCGGGAAGGGGAAAAGGGCGTTCGGCCCTTTCACTCACAAATTAAGAGTTTCACCGACAAACGAGGGAGAACGTCATGGGTTTACGTCCACCATGCTCCTGGCACTCCATCCGACAAACGAACAAAAAACTAGCCCAGATCATTCAACTCACCTGGCTGTCCTCAGATTCCCTGCTAAAAGTCTAAGCTTTTGGTGGGTCAAATGGAAATCCAACTACTAAACACTAAAAGGCCAGAAGGCTAAGGAACCGGATCGTTTAGCCACCAAGTCACAGGCCAACGAAGTTCTCCCACCTTCTGGTGGAAAGAAGGATGGGGTAGGAGCTGTTCCTGGAGGACTTGGTTCCTTAGCATCACTCGCCGATCGCCTCGCCTCAAACATTACCCGAGCCATTGATTCGCCCTCTGGGGGCTTGCGTGGGACAGCGACACTCGCCATGGAGCTCGGTTTTCAGGCGACACTCGGAAGGCAGCAGACAAACCCTGCGTTGGGCGTGCTTGTTTTTGGTGGAGCAAGATGTTTCTCAACTACCTGGACTCTCCCCTTTAACAGGATCACCAAACCAAGCGACTTTAAACCCCAGAACGTTTGTCCTTCGCGCCTAACCCTCGGTGCGCCTGGAAAAACCGCCCCTCTCGGTGTTTCTTGAGGGAGCCCCAGAGCCATAGGACTCGGGCCCGTGGAGGTAAAGCTGGTCAGCGACTTGAAGTGGCTCAGCCTCTTGCTGTGCCTCGCCTAAGGTTTTGGCGCATCAGAGATGGCTGGAAACCCCCATCCCCGGAAGCCGGGATCCGGGGTGGAAAAACCTTGATGCACTGTGTACACTCAAAGGTGCTGGGCTTGAAACGTTTGCGGGGTTTGCACCATGTTAGTGGTAAACCACAAGTTCGGGCGGGTTTTCCTTGTGCGAAGACAGGCGTTTGCAACGCTTCCTTTGGCCCCTGTCACACGATGGAATCCTCGAGCGACAGGGTGTGCCCGCTCAAAACAGCCTCCAAGGGTGTGTCCAAATTTCTGACCCAGGCAACCTCCATAAGTGGTGGCGCTCACGTTGATTTCCCTCAGAGGCGCTTCTCAAGTTGAGTGTGGAAGAAATGTCACTCTCAACATCCCTTTCAACACTCAACACTCTCAAACAAATGGTTCAGAATGAACTGAAAAGAGGCCTTTCAACGTCGCCCTCCATCCAAAAGGAGGTCCGACCAATTGCTGGCACCAGTGGGAGCCGACTTGGGTACGTGCGGACGTTGACGGCGTCAAGGGAGGAGAAGGTAGCTCGATCGAAGGACCTCAAGATCCGGCAAGTGGGGAGCCAGGCATGGGATCTTAAAAAAACATGTGTCACCAGGGTGTGTGTGTGTGTGTTTGTGTTCTGTTGGGAGGGAATTCATAGAAGTAATTGTATATATATATATATATTATTACTTTTTGTATTTTTATTTTTTTGTGTAAGGAGGATCTGTCTGTTTTTTTCAAACAGAATGGTCTTCAAAGAACAGCTTACAACTGAAGAAGAGGGGACTGCGTGGCCAGCCGTGGGCTCAAACATTCCCACAGCCCCAGCTTCTTTGCTTCTCCGATTGTTTGTCTAATCTCTCAAGGGGAAAAACATCGACAAGCAGCGCACCCGGGGGGGACGGGATATCGAGAGATCCTGGAAAACGCAACATCTGTCCCCCCCCCCCCGCCCGTTCACCTGGCATGATCGCCCACATCCGCCTTCAAATGATAGTAAAGCTTCTATCAATGATAGTGACACCACACTTAGACCAGGAGAACATCTCCCACACCTCATTCGCAAAAATGTCTCACAGGTTCAACGCTTCTCATACATGTTTCCAGCAAAATAGGCACCAAAAAACACCCTGCCACCAATCCCAACAGATTCTTCGAACCCGCGTCCTGTGCAAAAGCAAAGAAAGCGACATGATGGCCCTGGAAAAAGAATCAGAACCAAAGCCCTATATTTCTAGGGGTTGATTCCCCGTTCTTTTCAAAAACCAATCGCCATTTCCCAGGATTTTTGGTGGTTTTCTACATGGAAGTTACCCCTAGAGTATTGGCGGAATGTACCTCCAAACAGGACGCCCCCCCAACTCGAAACAACTCAGTGGACCTAGCTGTCCTTTTAGGCGAAATAGATGGGTTTCCCTGGTATGATGATTAAACCACCAGGTAAAAACCAGGGCAATCGCCATCGATTTTTCCACCAACACCACAAAAAAAAAAAAAAAAAAACGATGTCAGTGGATCCAACCCGGCGGAGCCCCAGTCCAACTTCCGCCCAGCGGCGCGCTTTCCGCATCCCCGGCTCCGCGGTCCTCTCCTCCGTGGGGTCCCTAAGCGAACAGTCCGAGGCTCGGTAGGAAACAGGGATCCTTACATGAAAAACACCTGAACATTGCCTTGTCAATGGTGGTTTCCCCGTATTTTGGCGGAAAAAGCCATGTGAGTCGCAATCAAAACCTGGTACTAAAATGGTCTACCCAGAACCATGTACAGGATTAAGAAGGCGGCCGCAGCTATTTCTGGTTGGGATCGTCCCTTACTAACCTTCATCTACCCAGGTTTTGATTGTGGCTCATGTGTCAATTGGTGGCAAAATGTATCTCTTGAGGAGCCCTTTTAAACCCCCCCCCCTTTTTCTCGAAAAAGAGGGAGAAAAGGTTCTGCGAGTTGGGCACATTTACAAGATCCACAACATGGCACCGGGCGGGGGGGGGGGGGGAAATCCAGTTGACGGCACGGCACCCTTTCTGTTTATTTAGGGATCCTCTAAGCAATGGACAAAGAATCGGTACTGCACAACTTCCCAATTTGCGGTTTCGCCCCCTGCACAAATCAATGAACACATAAACAGTCGTGCAATCCATTCCCTTTAACCAGGGGAAGAAATAGCACAACCGCAAAGCGGGATCGATTTCACCGCAAGCAAATGGAAAGAACCGCAAAGCGACGAAAGCAAAACCGCCACTTTCAGGTGCCCCTGCGGACTGGCCACTCGCAGCAGGGCGAGCCTTGCGTCGGAGGTTTCTCCCAATCGCCAGAGGTAGAACCGGAGAATCTGGGGTTTGGATGCCCAGTCTTTTCAACCATCGTTCTGTTCGAAAACCTGGTGTTTCAAAAACCTCGGTGTTTGATGGTTCCCCGAAAAGAAGGATCCCTGGAAAGAATGGGGAAGCTTCCCCTCGACAAGAAGGGACCTTGCTGAGGGAAATGACAGAGATTTCAAGCAGAAGAAACCTGAAAAACAAGTTCCAGAGTCTGGCACTGAAACTTGTGTGCGCGCGTCGTTTTTGTTGGATGTTGTGTGCGCTTCTGTTTTTGGTGGGCCCTCAAAGAGCCATGGGGCTCCATGAGCTCTGCTGACTCTGCACGTGTTTCTTTTCCGTGCACTTGAGGGCTTACTCTTGATAAAGGCGATATGTGGCGTGTGCGTGGTCTGTTGTTGAGTTGGTACCCTGGGGAAACCTGAAACAACCATCATTTTTCAGGGCTCCACAATTTGGCACATGTCCATATGCTGCATAGGTGTTGAAGGCAGCTACTCTGCAGACTGTAGCAGCTACCCCCGCCAAAAAAGCAGTTTGGGGCACAAAGGTGAGGTTTGGGTGTTTGTCAAAATAGGGCAGACTCCAAAACTGTGGGCCGTCCTTCAAGCCAGCCCAAAATGTTGGTACCAACTCCAAACATGCAACTCAGCAGAATCGAACTGGCAGCCTCAAAAGAAACACACACCCAACGCCGCCCTTTTGCAAACCCAAAAAGTCAAGGGCGGCCGGGCGGGATGGGCTGCGTCCGGTCCGCGTTGAGCACCACGGGGGGCAATTCTGCCGCACCCGAGGCGACCTGGAAAGCATGAAGTGGGTAGGTCTTCAAATTGGGGGGGCCACGTCAATGACAGGATGGCTTCTTGTCAATTCTTTTCAGGTAAGGCTTTCTCGTGGGTGTGTCTTCAAGGAAAGCCACAAATTACACGGTGGGTCGTCCTTTTGGAGTCCCAGAAGGAAACCTCCCAAAGCAGGGTATCACAAGAAGACAGAACCAAGTGGTTCTTCGGAGTAACTGGGGATTTGACCCGGGCTCGAGACCGCCAAATGATGTCCAGCTCACATGGATGGGTTGATCCATAGTCCCCCTTCGGCCCCAGTTCTTTCCATGGGTAACGTTTCCCATATGGGAAAGAATGCTTCTCTCGACTGGTTTTCCGACCTTTTGATCCACCTTTGTTGGGGGGAGGGGACCCGTCTTCTTTGGGGGGGAGGGGGACCGTTTTTTTTGGACATGAAAGTGGTCCGTGCTTTTTGGTTGTTTGGGGGGGAGGAAGTAAGGGCTTGAAAGGAGTACCAAGGAAGAGAAGGCGGTCCTTGTCTTCTTTGTGGGGAGCCCCCTTGGTCGGTGATGGGAAACCGGGACACCAGCAATTTAGTTGTTAGTTGGGGAACCCCATGGTGTGGTCTGCGGCCTTTCGAGGGCAAGCAAACTAGCCATTGAACCTGTCTGGTTGCTTCTGTCCGCTTTGTTTTGGAAGGAACACAACGGATGGCAGTGCCAAATACCACACGCCTCTACTGCCATCTGCTTAAGCCCCTGGGAAAAATACAAGTATGTCTAGTAGTGATAGATTCCCTGTAAAACCAACAGGGGAAATTAAATATGATTAAGCAAATGGAAGTCTCCCAAGACTGGGTTAGCAGCGAGCTTTCCTTTCTTGGCCCGAAAACCGCCTTCTTTTACATATCCGTGGGAAATGACCAAAAGCGGTCCCATGTTTTTTTCTTTCCGCACAAAGCCCCAAATGTTTGTGTCTCAAAAAATCGGCTTCCCAAGCCCTCTTTTCGACCGCACACCGCGTTTTGGAAAAACACCGAACAAACAAACACTCCACCGCGGAGATCTCGGGCCCACCGAAAACCCCGCGAGGCTGCCGAGATCCCTCGGTGGCTTTCCCCCCCGAGATGCTGAGATCCAGACACCTCGCAGCAACACCAGGGACTGGCAGAGACAGCGGAAGTTGGGAAAGTGAATGAACCCAAATCTACCCTCCACTTACCTGGAGCCCAAACTCCACATACCTGCCTCTTATTGTTTGTTTGTTTGTTTCTTGACAAAGCGAGTTTTTCATGGAAAATACCTGATTGTAGTCAGCAGTTGACATCATGCCTTAAAAAAAGAGGGTATTTGCAGGGATGACTGGTCCCATCTGAAGGGACCTTCCGGAATTTTTCGGGGAGTGTAAGACGATAGATGCCGGGTATGCATTCTTTTCATCCCTATCCTCCCCCATTCTGTGGAAGGCCGTTTTCAGTGTTCGGGGCTCTAGCTTCGCCCGGAGACTCATGTCCCCATGAGAAACTTCGTGGTCACAAAAGTGTACCTCAAAACCGAGCGGCTCTTCGGGGAAGGAGGATGTGGCTTTCCCTTTCAAGCCAAACACAAGTTCTGGTACCCTAAAAAACATACCACAGACCCCATGATGTTTCCGAAAGAATTGCACCATAAGGGTCCAACCAGTCTTGGCGCAGGTCTCTGGTGGCGAACTGACTCCTCAAAACGAGTTGGGTGTCCTACGTTTGCTCTCACAACCCAAAAAGGGGGACTCTTCCGAAGACTGGCTCCAGCCCAGGATAAAACGACGAGTTCCCCCAAAAAACTGGTGTGAGGTATGCCCGCCCCGGCAAGAAGCTTTCCGCGGCGGGCAAACCTGCCTTGCACTCCCGCTCCCCGTAGGGGTTGTATTTCAGCTCGGATTCCAGCACCTATCGGCGAGCCGACACCGAAAGAGCCTGTTCTTCTTGTACGAGATCTTCCAACCTCACCGACCTACCCCAAAATGGTACCCTTGGTGTTGACCCACAGCCAGGTGTGCGAAACTTGTATCTGATGATTCCCTCGTTGCATCCCAGTAGCAAGGCGTCCCAGCGCAGAGCAAAAGGCGCCAAGCTCGCGCGACCGGTGTGCGGTTCAGTCATGCCCACGCTCGAGGGCATGCGTCGAAATAAGGATTTGGACCCCAACATGGGTGGTTGTCCTCTTGGTCTCTCTTCCAAAAACCAAGCAAAAGGTGCCCTGAACAAAAACTCCGAGGGAAACCCACCCCTGTGACACAACCCTTCTGCCTTGGTCATCTCGGCCTTGGCCCGCTCCTGGCGAAACAACGGGTAGGGATCTGGATAAGCGCATTGACCTTCTGCCCACGATGTTTGTGCGCAAACCTCCTGAAAACAACCATGTCATAAAAAAGAGAGATATGCCCAAAAAAGAGAAAGAGGAAAAACCTGCTCACCTGCCTAGAGCTTGGCCTGGCGGCCCCCCTTCCCAAGCAGACCCAGGGGAATACAAGGAAATTTACCCTTCTGCATCCTGGTTGACTGGCTCTGAACACGGCCCCCCCGCTTTCAACATGAAGGCAGGGTGGATGCCCGAAAACAAGTCGCAAGTCGGAACAAGGGAAACCCTGAAAGTTGTGGTTGATTCTACTTGCAACAAAGTGCATCCGTTCTGGTGTCGAAATCCTAGGGGCTCCAGGTAGAGCGTTCGGCGTGCAGGGTGGAAAAAAATCCATCGGGGTGTGTAGGGTATCCTTTTTGGGGTTAGTAATGGTAAACCAAAGGAGAGCCATGCTGGGGATTCCCCTACATGTCTCAAGATGTGCGCCTCCTTCCAGGTGGTTGGTGTCCCTTTCGCTTCCCTCCATCTCCCAAAAACAATCACCACGCCCAGTCGCTTCCAAAAATCACATCACCTTTGAACCAACAAAATCTGCCAGTCCACCATGGAACCCCTCTGGGTCACTGGGAAAATGGCCTTCCGGGCACCCCCTCAAGAGCCAGAGCTTTGCCAGATCAGTGACGGATCCGACAGCAATTCTTGAGGCTGGAAAGACGCGTTTGTCTTCAGAAAACGCGTTTGTCTTTCCCTCAACTTCCGTTCCCTCTTCCAGCACGCAGTGCAAAATGCAATGTGCCTTTGTTTCGGAGCCACACCAACACTTGACGGGCCCTGAAGAGATCGATTCATCGAAGGCACAGGCTAGAATGGCCCGTGTTGGGACCAAGTCAGGTTCCAAGGGTCCCAACGATTGAGCCATATTCCCATAAAAAACTGTTGTCCTCTTTCCCTTGACACCAACCTTAAACAGGGTACCATCTGTCAACGGTAAATCTTCAACCCAAAAAACGACCGCCCGCAACCCCCTTCAGCACTTGGTTGCTGGCGAGACCCCTCTGCAAAAACTCTTTAACTTTTTTGCAAGGTTCTTGAAGTGGCAAGAGCAAAAATCGGAACCGGGATAGTCTGGAGTAAGGTTCCACCCACCCACCCCCACCCACCAACTTCCACCAACTTCCACCGACTTCCACCAACCCAACTTCCACCAACCCACCAACCCACCAACCCACCAACCCACCAACTTAGGGTCAAGAACCACCTCCCACCCCCGCCCGGACCGCGGACTGGTTGCGCCTCGGCGGCTTCCGAGCGGGCCACGGCGCCGGGGAAGCGGAGCAGCACGTCCACCAGGCAGTCCTGCGGCGTCTCTTGGGGTCGTTTTGTGGCCGGCGTCCTTTAGGGGCCACCATAGGCGTCCTTTTTGGGCAAATAGATGGCCAGGGGTCAAAATGCAAGTCCCTTCCCCCCCCCAAAAAAATAAATAAAACACAAGCCTTTTGGTGGATGGACAACCTCCTGCGCCAGTTTAGATGTGGCCATGGGTCAAAAGCCAAGGCCAAATCGTATCCCCAGTGAACATCCAATCCAATCCAACCACTGAAATAGGTTCTAAAATGGGTGGTGAATTCACCTACCCCAGAAAGGTACCATTGGTTTTGACCTACAGCCAGATGGGTTCCCTGGTATGATGATTAATCCACCAGGTAAAAACCCGGGCAATCACCATCGATTTTTCGACCAAAACAACCAAAAAGGACACCTACTCCCACCCTTGTGACATGGAACCGTTCGACGTTCGGGGCGCACCGTTCCCTTTAAAAGGACAGTGGTCTAAACCAGGACCAATGCCCCGAACGTCAGAACGGTTCCATGTGAGTTGGTGGGAGGCTACCCTTACACCCCATTCCTTTTCTGTGGGTTGGGTTGTTAGTTTTAACTGCTCAGATCCCCGGCTCAAAGTGAAACACTCTTAGTGGGCTCTGAATGGAAACCCAACCACTAAACCAACTAGAAGGTTGAAAACCTTTCTGGAACCGGATGGCTTGCCACCACGTCAACCAAAACACACCTCCACACGCGATCCCTTCCCGACACTCTCGCGCTCCCGCGCCTTGCTGATGGCCAGGACATCTGTGCGGCTGCTCAAGCCCCGGACCTCGAAGCGGCACGCGCGGCGCTGCGAAGTTTGGTTCGGAGGGCTTCCACGAAAGGGGCTCCAAACAAAACAGCACTGGTAGGAGGGGGGAAAACAAATAAAAGGAAAAAAGGGAGGAAGGGAGGGAGGGAGGGAGGAAGGAAGGAAGGAAGGAAGCAAGAAAGGAGGGAGGGAGGGAGGGAGGGAAGCAAGAAAGGAGTTGATGGAAGAAAGGAAGGAAAAAACGAGATGTGAGTTGTTTGCAAAAGGGATGCTTCAAAACACTGCAAACTGGCGTGTCATCCGAACAAAAGTGCCACCAAGTACCTCGTCTGCCAGTGTCTAGAACAGGAATCACCGACCTTCTCAGAAGTTTCCTTCACACATACCGAGACGGGGCTGTTCCCTCAGCCGCTCCGCCCCAACTTGGACACCTAAAACGCGCCACAGTTGTTAAAGTAAAAATTTACCAAAGTTGCCGCCAAAGTTGCCAAAATAAAGCACCAAAAGAGCACCAAAGTTGCCCCAAAGACACCCGAAAAAGCGCCAAAGTTGCCGCGCGGCTTCTTTGGTTCCACGCGCCAAAAAAAGGGGGCGCCCAGGCCAGTTTCAGCCATCCAAACTTCAGGCCATGGGGAAATTAGGAGACTGAGAGGCATGAGGAAACCAAGGCACTGCGAGCCAACCTACCAGCCAAAAGAAACAGAAACCAAACCGTACTTGATGTATGTGTATATGAATATGTGATTGACACTTCAATATAAATGCAACATGAAAACAAATGAATGAATTCAAACAACAAAAGACAAACAAAAAAGCAACAACAACAAAAAAGCCAACAAACAAAAAGACGCTCGCCCGTCTTTGAGTCCGGCCATGATGGGGGCCGCAACCACCTGGCCCACCACGTCGGAGCTGCGGCAGAGGCCGCAGAGCACCTGGCAGCGGCTTTCGGCCACTCCTGGAGAAACAACTCAGATCCAGAAAAGACTAGGTCCTCCAGTAGAGAGGTTAGAATAAGTTGGTACCAACTTTGTGCTCTAGTCTATTTTAGTAGGGGAACCCTCCCAACCAAAAAGGTTGGTAAAAGGGCACTACTGGAGGACCTAGAAGAGAAACACCCGTGGAGGATACCCACCCGCCAACTAACATGGGTTTATACAATAAGGCAACTAACCAAGAGGAAAGTAGTCTTTCCATAAGGGTCTGCGCTAGCTGGTGGGAGGATGGTAGGCCACCCAAGAAAAGCGTAGTACAAATATAGTAGCCAGCCGTTGCTCAGAAACCGAACACTTTGCTTGGTCTACAAACCCATGGAAAATGGAAAGGCGGCCAAAGATTCTAGGTTGAACATTTGGGATAGTCCTAGTCCTCTATTTGGTGGTTTGGATTCCAATTACCCCTACAGTAGGTAACCAACCACTATTCCTTTTGGCTGTTAAAGAAGGGTTCCCTTTGGTTACCTAGTATACATACAGGCAAATGGAAATTGAGAAGCCGGGATCACTGGGCTTGCACCAAAAGTTCGGCTTTGGAAGGCTTGTGGAAAGTCTTCAATCTTGGGGGTTTGGATGGTTAGTTCAGCTTGGGCAGTTTCCCAAACAAAGACCTCTACAAGAGCCTGTTTGGTGCACACGTACCTATTTTGCCCCAAAAAAGGAAATAAGAAAATGGCGGGGGGAATTCTTTAGCCTTGCCTCTTGTGGGCTCTTACCATGTCCTCCCGAAGCCAACAGCTTCTCCGGAGTGACGAAAAAAAAACATCAGCCGGCAATGGACCAAACAAGACTCTTCGTCACCAACATCTACCGCAAAACTCCGGGTTTGGGTAGGTGGAGTGTTGGCAGAAAACCGCATTTCCAAGAGCGACTCGTTTGGAGCCTGCAAAAACAGCAACTGGTAGGGTGGACATGATGCTGCCCAAGAGCAGTTCATACCCAATTGGACCCCACGTGTTGTGGCTGTCCGTTCAGTTTCTCTGTAAAACCAACCTGAAGAAGTTAGCCTCAAACAAAATACACACACAAATACTAGGAGTGTCTTAAAATAGAGGAACCTCCACAATGGGTAACTTGCATTTCGTGTCCCTTTGAACCCGACCCCACAAATTTCTCCCTCAAAAAAATGACACACCCGTTGAACCAAGATCTCTACCATCGCTAGTTCAAGTCCTTGGCTTGCCCAAACCCGGCTTACCCTCACAACCTACGGGGCAGCCAAAAAACATCCGACACGAGCCGCGCAACTTCCCCCAGAAAGATCGAAGATGACCCTCGATGGCCCGGCCCGACATGAAAGTGGCCCAACCTGGCGATGTCCCTTTCCCCTCAGAGGGAAAAACAAAAACGACCGAGAAAAAAAGAAAGAAGAAAAAAGAAAGAAACAAAAAAAAACGACGGCGCCCAGGCCAATCTGTCCGGTCGAATCCAATGCGGCCTCTCGAGCTTGGTCGGACTCCTCAGATGTGTCGTCCTGCGCATCGCGTATCCCAGGTGCCAGGTACAGCTGTGGTCCTTTTGCTAAAACCCAATGGAAAGCCATAGATATCTATTGCCCTAAAACTTCAAAGCTTAAAGGTCCATATCTATTGTCCCTTTTTACCCATTGGTTCTCAGGAAAACATGAAACCCTGGGGTACCTGCAAAAAAGTCCGGCGGAATATCTGGGATCATTGGGCCCCAAAAGAAAAAGATCCACGGACAAATGTGGGAAGAAAGCCTCAAAACCGGCTGATAGATTGGACTAGATGAGATTAGATTAGATTAGATAGATAGATAGATAGATTATATACATATACATATACATATGTATAGGCTTCAGCGGTGCGTCTTTTCTCCGACGCCAAGCACAAGGTTTTGTGAGTTGTGGGCAACCACAACTTCCCTTGAAGAGGTCTGTGGCCTTCGAGGCGCACAGTCTCAAGCTTCATTCTGAATGGAAGTTGATCCATGGCAGGATCACAGTTGGTTCACAATTCTCCATGGTAGGAGTTGTAACCATCAAACGGTAAAGGACAAAATCCATGGTAGGATTTGTTCTCTCTCTCTGGGGGGGCGAGGCTGGGCCGATTCAAAAGGACCCTTTTGAGAGGAAAGGCGCGGAGCACGCACACTTCAGCCTAACTTTCTACAAGAAAATCAAGGCTTCAGCGGTGCGTCTTTTCTCCGACGCCAAGCACAAGGTTTTGTGAGTTGTGGGCAACCACAACTTCCCTTGAAGAGGTCTGTGGCCTTCGAGGCGCACAGTCTCAAGCTTCATTCTGAATGGAAATTGATCCATGGCAGGATCACAGTTGGTTCACAATTCTCCATGGTAGGAGTTGTAACCATCAAACGGTAAAGGACAAAATCCATGGTAGGATTTGTTCTCTCTCCACGACCCCCAACTCGACACTAAGTGTTGAAAGGTCGCCATGCACTTATCATGCGTCTGGCTTTTGCAGAAAACGTGAGGCCTGGCAGGAAGCTAAGACCGTCCATGATGTATAATTTCGCAACCTGTGGGCTGCCCCATCTGCCCTTCAAAAGAGCAGTCTCCATTGATCCAGTTTGCTGAAATAGAAATGTGGCCCCACCACGTCGTAAAGAGTAAGGTCGGAAGGCATGAGAGGCAAGGTCAAACTTGTCAATGAGTTTGTTGAACCGATTGCGGAAACATTGTGGTGAGTGTGGCCAAATTGGGGCTCTAGAGCAGCCCTGGTCCTTCCTAAGACGCACGACCGAAGTCAGCGTATCAATCAAGAAAGGGTCTGAAAAGGCAACTGTCTCACCTGTAGCAGTGCGTTTTCCCGTTTTAGTGTTTGGCAAACTCAGTATGCCTGTGGCATCACGAATTAGAATGTCTTCAGGACGCACATCCAAAAGCTCCCCAGTGCGTAGCATTGCAAAGAATCCCAATAATAACAAACCAGCAAGGAACAAATCATGATGATCCAAGAGGTAATAAGCCATCGAATAAACAATTGCCTGGGTCAGCGGCGGAGCACGGTTTGGAGCTTCCAGCTTTCGCCATGCACGAAACAACCTCCATGCTGAAGGGATCAGCTTTCGCGTGTATGGTTCAAAATGATGTAGGCCGCAGAGTGCATCACTGACAGTACTCAGGGTCTGTCCTTCTTTCCACGCCTTTTCAACCCAGTCTGAAACGGCTTCATCCAAGTCGCTCACACTTCCCAAAGTTTCCAGGATAGGAATCAAGAAGCGAATTCCCACAAAATACCGTTGCAGAGTGCGCTCCGTTATAACCGAGTCCGCGAGGGTGATGTTTGCTCTTTGCTTTCTTCTTTCCTTCTTAGTGCGTCTTGTAAGTAGTCTAGGTCGTTCGAGACGCCCCATCTGTTGGATTTTTCGTAGACTCTACATGACCCAAAACCAAGGTCAGTCCATGGGACAGCAGTCGAGCGTTGAGGGCTTTGAGTACTCTATTGAGTAAACGGCTTCCACTACGGCCTTTCCCTGCCACTGACATGCAGACGTAGCTGTCTGTGACATGAAACAACCTCATGTCCAAGGCTTTGTGATGACGAACGGAATAATCAACCGATTGCAGTATAGCGCGAAGCTCCAGTTTATTGATGTGGTCTGCATGAGCCCACTTAAACCGGAAAACAGGTTCCCAAGTCCACCAGCCAGCTTCCACCGATTGCCTAGGGTAAGCCTTGGGGTTCATGATGACGCCAGAAGCAACCCTTATGTCTGACCCTGTATGATTGACACGTGTGAGCAATAAGCGGTTCAGACAACTGACCCCAACGCCATCCGAAAAGCACTGGAAACCATATCGCAACGACCTAGACAATGGTGCAGTTAAACGCCATGGAGCCACCCAGCCTGGAGCTAAACCCATTCGATTGTAGAGGTGGTGTACATGAACTTTGGGCATGTACGCTTTGCAGAGCCCCGCGGCCACAATAACAAAAGAGTAGACGCTGAAGGCATCCCCGATCAGAGAAAGTCGCTCGTTTTCATAGCGTGGCGGGCTCTGCTTGATGGTGCTGGCACTGTAGCAAACCTTTGTGTGATTGAACCCATATCCCATAAGTAGCTCACGTTCTGAAGCATCACACAAACGCCACTTCTGATCTTTCCAAAACACAAAGCGGCTCAAGTAATGGTAAGGTGGAAATTTGTAGTGCTCTGCTGCCCAACGGGCCAGAGCATTGCTGTCACAGCGGCTCAGCCCCGCAGGAGCCGGAGGGGGCTGATGTCTAATGATGGCACGCATGGCAGTAGGCAACACCTCTCCTGTTATAGCTCCTTCCCAGTATACACCTGGCTCCATCCATTGTGAGGGCTCCGAATAGGGTCCTTGAGCCTTGATGTCTTCCTCGCTAATTTCCAAACCATCAACTGCTCTGTCCAAACTCTCACTTGTCCAGCAAAGCCGTGGCCGATTCATCGGCACTGCGTCTGCGCAATTCAAATGCACTGGCCAAACATTCAGTTCTGATGAAATTTCCGAGCAAGCCTTCTTACTCATCGAGGCCACATTTTCCGCAACAAATTTCACCTGGACGAAGTTTGGCACTTCTTTCTTGAGGAGTCTCAAAATGCGAGGAATCTCAAAGAAGAGCCCTGATCGTTCACCTTCGAGTTCACGGCGCCCATATTTGGCTGATGATAGGTCAGTGCATGGAAATCCAGCCCATAAATGGATTTCCTTGATCCCCACTGCCAAATCTTCTCTTCGTTGATCTCCCTAACATCCGAGCAGATTTCCGCATGTGGCCATCTCCTCGAGACCACTCTATTGGCGGGACCATGGATGTCATAGCTAATGAGTCCCATAGGTACTAGTCCGAGTACGTCATAGCACCTGAACGATCCCCCAATTCCGTTAAACAGAGATAGTACCAAAACTGGGATTCGATGCACGGTGTTGTGGCAATGCAGTGCTGCCTGGAAATAATCTTTTCCGCAGGAGTTCAAGGTGTGGCTGATCCCCACAGCTCCCCCGCTCATTGAAGCATCCGAGGCAGTAGTGAACTGGGAGATTCCTGCCTTAAGATTGGTATGCAGGAGGCAAGCTGAGCAGCAGATTGCCACCAGCTCTCGCCTGGCCTCCAAAAGCAATCTGGCGTTAAACTTCTTCGCATGAATGTACTCCCACACCTTCTCCAGGAATGACATCCCCGGCCTTCGGAACTGCAGTATGTGTACCCAGCGGCCAACCACTACCTGTAGGTGCTTCTTGTTCAGCTGCCCAGTGCGCAGTATCCAGAGGGTGGCTTGTACAGTTTTCAGAAGTCTCATTCCTGAGGGTCCGATCGTACCAGTCACCCCATCGATGTAAGCACCAAGCTCTTCTCCCTGTGGGATTCCTGCCTGCCTTTTCTTTTCCGACGACAGTACATTTGCATCTTTCCAGGCTTTTTCAGCTCTTTCATGAAGCGCATCTCCAGCTAAGGTTTGCTCTTCAGGGCCAATTACCTGTCCAGCCGCGAAATTGTCCAGGTACACATGCCACCAAAGTCTGCGCGACTGCCGCGCTTCTTTTAGCAATCCTGTCATCCAAGGAGGAACCGCAGCTCTTCTAGTCAGCTGCTCCTCAGCACTCAAAGCCCCATGGAATAGCAGCTGTTCGCTAATTTCCTGCATCACGGCCACCGAGCTATGCCACCCCATGGGTAACACAGCACACGACAGAGCAAACTGACTGTCAGGGGGGTCTAGGCCGATCTCATGGCCTTGTTTCAGAATGTTGAAGGAAAGATAGCCAGCCCATGACTTTGGTAGCCTGAAAAGGTAAAATGCGTTGCACATGTCCGACTGCCAGATTTTTACAGACTCATCTCCATCACAAACCAGGGACATCCAAGAAGTGATGCTAGGCAAATTCTTAACTGCTCCTTCCAAACCCTGCATCACGCTATTCGAGGCTACTAGATTCATAATCAATCTAAGCACCGGCCTCCCTGAAGCCAGCTTAGACGGCTTTTCCACACCAAATAAACCGTTAAGTACCGGCTGTCCTCGGTACTTGAGAACCTCATGGAATGGTGTCCATGTACATACTCCCCTTTCAACCAGTAATGCCGAAATTTGTTCCATTTCACCGGCTTTAGCATGTACCTTCCCTTGCAATTTAGGAAGCTCTCGGCCATCATCAACCAGCAAACAGTTGTTGGGGTCATCCAGAAGGAACCGAGTCATGGGGGACACGAACTCCAAAAGGTCAATGCACCCCCCATGCCCTAGAGGTGCTCAACCTGTTCAAGTGTTAGTTCATGGCCTGTCTCAATCTCCTCTCCAGAGTATGACACCCTGCTACACTTGACATCTTTTTCCACCTCATCGGCCCCTCGCATCGCATCCTGAGAATGAAGCAATGTCCTTTTGACAGCTTCTGTCATGCTAGAGGCTGCCCGACGTTGCCCTCCATTCCAGCACCCTGTCAGCAAAGGCTTCTGCCAGCCGATCAGGGTACCGCACGCATAGGCTGAAAGCATCGTCCATTGCAAATCCAGATGCAGGTCCGCGCTCAATGGCCTCGTCAAAGGTGTGAGTGTAGAGCCATTCGCAAAGCCCAGCTAAATCCCCCACGCGCAAAGGCAGAACTGGCTGTTTCTTGCCAGCTCGTGGCTCAGCGCCGGAGTTGATCATTGACCGGACCAGTGTAGGATCCACCCTGTGCTCATGCTCTGAATTCACCAACGCCCATGCCAAGCCAGCTCCAATGGTTACCAGAGAGCTGCCAGCCCGGAGTACGCGCTCAAAAGTCACCCGCTCGGTCCCATCATGGCTACCACTTTGCACGGCTTGCGCCAGCAAAGGAGCCAAGAGGGCTGTACCTGGAGGTTTTTGCAGCACGGCCAACGCCAGCTGACCTCCACTCATATTCTCGGCTTCTCCTCGGCCTTCTCCTTCGCAGCTTCCCACGAAGTCTTCTCTCCTTTCCCTCCTTGGGTCCAACCTTTTCCTTTTCCCTTTTTGTTCTTTCCTTTTCCTTTCCCTTTGTTCCTGTTCTCGCTGCCTCCTTCTCCTGCTGGCCACTCGTTCCGCCAACGTCCTCCACGACCTATTCCTGTGTTGCCCCATCCTTGGGTGTTTCCTCCTTGCACCTTCTCGATCAGCTTCGCGTGCTTCCGGGTTGCTAGTATGGTTGCAGCCCCTGCGGCGGAGTTGTCTTCCATCGGATAGATCTCCATGTGCTTTGCCATCCTCCAAGAAGCGTCCACCATCGACTGGTGGATGGCCATGAGTCTCGCCGACAAGGCGTCCCCCACGCGGGCGATGTCCCCGCTGCGCAATAGGTCGATGCACGCTGACAAATGGTGCAACTCTCGTAACTCGCGGAGATGATTTGGAAAAGCGGTCCTGATGTGGAGGTTGAAGTATGTCATCACCTTCACTCCCCCCACGATGTCGTCCTTCCGCGCGCCGACTTCCGTCAGCGCACCTTGGTCCAGCTTCTCCCTGACGTGCGAAACCAACATATTTAGCACTCCTCCTGGTTGGTCTCGCGTCTTTTTCCGAAGTGGAGCTTCTAGATCGCTTTCGCTGCCCTCCTTCTCTTCTATCGGATCCTCTGCCTCGGAATCGGAATAGCTGCTGCTGGAGGAAACGAGCACTCCGTCTTTCAACACCCTCCTTCTCTTCTTCTTCTTCCTCTTCCTCTTCTTCTTGCCTCGGCCGCGACGGTCTCCTCCGCCTCTGTTGGGGTCCTTGTCGTTCTTCCCAACTAGTATCTCGGTAAGGGCAATCCTTAACTTTTCGACGCCATCCTTCTTCGTCTTTCCTCTTCGTCCTTCGGCATCTTTCCCCGTCCTGTAGTTGTTGACGGCTGCTTGACGAAGAAGCTGGCCTCTCCAAGTATTCGAAGTATGCCCTTTTATATCCTCCAACGCTGGCAGGCCTTCCTGCCTTTCCCCTCCTTGACGAAGTGGGGCCCTTTCGGCTCCTCTCCTTTTCTGACGCTTCGGATTCAGATAGATCCCAGTGTTCAGCGTCTCTCCCGCTGCAGACTCGTAGTCTCCTTCTGAGTTTCCATCCTCCTGGTCCCCACGCGAGCCTTCCTCCGAACCATCCTCGATCTCTTCCACTTCTACGGCTTTCCCTCCTTTCAGCTTCTGCCGGATACCTTCCAGCTTTTTCCTTAGCTCTGCTCGCTCTTCTGGGGAGATTTTGGGGCCACCTTCTGCCCCATCTTCTTTTCTCTTTCCACCAGGCGCTCTGCCACCCTTGCCTTTTAAGTCTTTCTTCTTCGGGCCTTTCCCCTTTGGAGCCGCGGCATTTGACTTCTTTCCTGGAGGCTTTGGATCCTTCTTCGGGGCCGCAGGCTTCACACCTTTGCCAAATGCGGGATCCTTCCCGACCTTCGCGTCCTGCTTCACATCTTTGCCAGATGCGGGAACATCCTCGACGTCCGCGTCCTGAGCCTCGTCCATCCATTTGTTGATGGACCGATATCTTCTTTTCACGGTGTACTGGTCGAGTGCCTTGAAAGCCTCCAAATCCCACAGCGTGAGAGAGGTGATGCGCACTACTTTTTCCACCTCTTCGCCAGCTCTCTCCAAAGAGACGCACGGCTCTGCCCGGCAGAGGTGCATAGTGTAACCACCACCATTGAACCGTTCGTCCAGCAGTGCATGTGCTTGAGGTTCTTCTGCTCCGAGATGCCTTACTGTTAAGAGCGCCGATCCGTCCGACCAATGCTTGGTGAGGAGCACCACGAAGGCAGCGTTTGCGGCCTGGTCGCCAGCTCCCAATTGAGATATCGGGACCTCTAGGATCTGGCCTGGGACTGGTGATAATGCAGACCATTCTGCCGGCTCGGAAAGCAAGTAGTCAACCCCTGCCATTGCTCACCCTAAACGATCAAGGGCACCTCGTCCAAGGGAACTGGTACCAAGACTCAGCAAGGCTGGTGATGCCTTGCGATGAACTAGCAAGTTTGGATTTTCTGCAAGCCTTGCCAACCGCTGGTGTTTGCGCCCTGCTCTTCGGTATCCGCTGCTCTTCCTCCTCTTGGTCTTTCCTTCCTCTCTCTTCTCACCCCCAACCGAGGCACGGCGAATGCCAGCCCGGGGTCCAGCTTCTCCTCCTTGACTGTGATCCTTCCGGGAAATCCTCCTCGGAGATCGGGCTTTCGTCTTTGGAGTAGCTGTTCTTAGAACCTTGTCGTTCTCAGACTGGTCTTCTTCTTCTTCCTCCTCTTCCTCGTCCTCCGAATAATGACTGGATTCACTTGTTTCCTCCTTCACCTCACCTGCTTCTCGACTTCGATGATGAGGACGACGCTCGAGGGGTTCTCGACGATCCACACCGGGGCTTGGGCCGCACTTTCCCGAAGGTGTACGGTCAGCACGGCTTTCACCAGCTCGGCCACTCCCAGTCCGAATCAGGCCAGAGCTCAAGGACCTGACCGCACGGACTTGCCTCACGCAGCTAACGGCCAAATCGTTTGCCAGCTGCCGAGCTCCAGCGGAATCCCAGTGTCCACTCAACTCGCGGCCCAAGCTTTCCCAGGCGGTGCAACCAATGCACCACGAGTCCCCCTCTAGTGCCACACAGCCACGACACTTGGCACACTGAGGGGGAGGCATGAACCACGCCGATTCAAAAGGACCCTTTTGAGAGGAAAGGCGCGGAGCACGCACACTTCAGCCTAACTTTCTACAAGAAAATCAATCTGCCGGGAAAGAACTTGGCCCCTGCGATCAGCTTTCCTCTAATTGGTGGTTTGGACTGGTGGGGGGTCGGGGGCGGCTTTTTCCATTTGCCCTCTACAAGAACCAGAGCTTCAAATTCTCAAACCACCAATCCAAACCAATTGAGGCCCATGAAGTGCGACGTGGTCCGAAAACGCAGCGGACATTGGTGGCTTGAGGTGGGTCTGAGTCTTCCTTCGCTCGGAATTGGCCAACGTGGTGCCTGGCAAAGTGGGGAAAAACAGATGGGTTTCCCTGGTAGATGAGAAAAAACCACCAGGTACAGGAATCGCCCTCTATTTGTCTAGCAAAACCACCAAAAACACACCTATGGAACCTGCAATTTACCTTCGTAAGTGAACCTTTGGGAAAAATGGATGGCCCTGGTACCCTCCCACCTATGGATCCAGGCGCCGTCTTTCTTCACCACTGCCTCTGCGACTGCGTCGCAACCCGTCCCCGCCCACTCCTCCGTGTCCGCCGTGTCGCCCAGCGCGCTGCGCTTCAAGCAGGCTGAGACCTTCAGGTCTCGAGCAAAACGAGCAACCGGAACTTCTAGCAGGCGCTTCCAATTCCATTCAGGGATCCGAGTCTTTCCAGAAAACCCAAGGGGAAACCCCTCCAGAAGTGGGTTAAAACCCATGGGGGTAGGGGACAACCCCTCCAGAAGTGGTTTAAAACCCCACCAAAACCGGGAAAGCACCCCCCATAGAAACAATCAGGGGTATATGAATCCGGGGTCAACATTGTTGCTGGTGCGAGAGATGCAGGGAATGAGAAATGGAATGACCCGATTTAAACCATCCACCTGGTGGGTTCCTTTAAGGGGACTCACCTACTGAGCACCAGCAAGGGTTTCTGATAGAAAACGGGCCAAAGGGATCCTGGTCAGGTTCCACACGCACAATTCTTGAGAGGGTTGCTCAAGACGTTCACGCGAAAGAATCGAAACGGCGGCCACGGCTTTGTAGGACCTGCGCTCCACACACCTACATGAGCAATGCACAAAACGGCCAGCTTCCCCTTAAGCACGCGAAATTGGCGGGCGCCCAGTCCCGTTTCCCTTTTGTGCGCTCTTCCTTCCCATGCCCTCCCGGAGTCAACCAACCAGTATCAAAGAAGAACAATGAATCTTGTTCGGTCACGAACGTCTACCAGGAGAAGCCACGTTACCCTCGTACCGCTAGGTGTTTCAGCTGGATTCCCGTTTTGGCGCACACCCGTGTGGGTCTGTCTTTTTGTTGGGGAACCCCTTTTTGGTTGGTGTTGAAGGGAAACCAACAGTTGAAAAATAAAATAAAAAAGAGTTCTCCACGTTTCGTGGGTTCCATGGAAAGCCCAAATGATGTCCCCAAAAGTTGTCCAATCTTCAGGGCCCAGCCCAGTTGATCGAAGGGAGGTCGGCCGTGTACTCGCTGGTGACCATCTGAAGCAAGCAAGCGCAAGCGCGCGGTCTGAACGCAGGTGGCTGGTGCCGTTTGGACGGTGGAGCCCCAAAAATGGAGTTTTAACTTTGGGTTCCCCTCTAGAGCCACCCAAAAAGGGGTAACAGCTCCAAAAACAGACAGACCCATATCAAACTCCGTCCGTCATGGTTCCCATAGGAATGATTTTGGTTAGGCATGGGCTTGTCTCATGAGGAGACGTTCCTTGTGGTGGTGTCCCTTTGATACGAACCCAACGGGGGGGGGGGGGGGCACCAAAAAAGATATTGGTGCACTTGTCAGATTCATTTGAGACCCCCCAAAAATGGCCCTAGTATGCAAGACCCAAAGCACCCAGCTGCCTTGGCAAGCACCGTCGTCAACAGTTTTGTGTGGAGAAAGTAGACAGCCATGATCAATATGCCGATCAAAGGAAACACAACCATTAAGCACGCAAGGAGTTTCGACAATGGCACCAATGAGCAATTGCTGACAAAATCACTTCCAACCACAGGTGTGTCGTTTTGGAAAAGATAGACGGGATTCCCTGGTATAATGAATGGCATAAAACCCATCTAAGCCAATAGAGCCCCTCGATTTTTAGCCAAACTCACCGGCCTCAAGGCAGCCGTGCTGCACCACATAGACCTTCGCCGGAAACATCGCAAAAGGAAACACGCAAACACAGCCGCGAGGGATACTTGGGTATGACTTGCAAATGGGGGTTGAGCAAAGGGTCGGTGATACATGGGATGACCATTGGGTTGGAAAACCACGAGACAAAGATTTGATATTTCCCACATGGGAACAGTTACCCATGGTCGTTTGGCGGCCAGGAATATTGATCAACACCCAAATGGCAACTCTTCCTCGGGGTGTCCCTTTAAACCAAGTTGAACTCAGATGCCCTGTGGCCATGGGACCCTTTTTTTGTTGGTTGAGTTTAACGGGGAACCCTTACCTAAAAAAATGGAAACAAGGACACCACTGGGCAACAGAGTGCAGGAACCCAAACGTTGCCTTCAGAATCAAAGGCAGGACTGCCCCAAGGGGATTCAGGCCCCTTTTGGGAGATGATCTCTTTGTTTTTCTTGGGGGGAAACCTCTGACTATCCTCCGGAGAAATCCAAAGCTAGCTTTGCCTGGGGCCCCTACAACTTGCAGGCTCCAAAAATTCCTCGATGTATTTACGCATCAAAGGACCCAATTTTAGGACACACACACACACACAGGAATTTGAAGGTGCGTTGAGGCGAGTGAAAGCGGAACGGCCTGCCACTTCACAAAGAAAACTGTCTCCGTTCCGCTCGCTCTCAGCCTCTGATGTGATCTCCCCTTCCTCGATCATCATCTCGTTCTGCAGCACCTGCGGGTTTTTCAGCAAGGCCTTGAGCGTTTATACGGGTGTGTGTTTTGAGGGTACCCCTTGTTTTAGGTGACACGCCCCACCGGACCCGTGGAGGCGTTTCTTTTTGGAGGGTGGGGGATGACAGCGACCATGTCCATGTGGAGGCGTTTCTTTTTGAGGGTGGGGGGGGATGACAGCGACCATGACCATGTTGCCAGACCCGGCAGGCGCGGCTTTGGTGTCTTCTGCGTGTGGCGGGGGGGGAAGAGGCGGGCGAACTGCGCCCCCGCAGGCACGAGTTTGGCTGGAGCAGGGCATGTGGCATGTGGCAAGCGGAGTGATGGGCACTTCAAAAGCAAACCGCATGAATACACACACAAACATCCCATCCAACAACAACAACAACAACGTCAACAACAACAACACACGCACGTCCTTACTTTCGCACTTCGTTGGGCACCCATGGAGTCGGTCTTGGAGCCAGTCGCACTGCTTATTCTGCTACGCCTGGCACGGGTGTCGTTGCCTCCTGGTTTGGATGGCTGGCGGGCACGCAGCAGATTGATCGCTGCTGGCATCACTTGAAAAATATCATGCCCAGTGAGATGAAGAGCCGCGGTCCCAGCGGCCTGATCAACAGTCGCCTGTGGACGAGAGCATACCAATTCTTGTATAGACGGTCTTTGTGTGCCTGACATATTAAACATGTGGTCTCTGTGGCAAAGAGATAAAACAAGCAGTGCCCGATGCCAGCATGTCAATGCATGAAAGCTGCTGTTAGATACAAACGAACTTTTTGGCACCTTGCGGCATGCTCCTTCAGCAGATTTGAATGGTAAACGCGCGTTTTTGCGCGGGTCCTGCTGAGCGTGCGACCTTGTTTTACAAAAGGAAAACCGAAAAACACCATCCATTTTGGGGGGTCCCCCAAACAAAGACATATATATATATATACACGGAAACAAAGGGCATTCACACAACTACACAATCCCGCCTGTGGATAACACTGAAAAAATACTGAACGATTACATAATTCCTCCAACTAGGGGTTAAGAAGCAGGCGGTCTTCGAAAACAGGGCAACCCAGCCACAGCTTGCTGTCTGTTTTTTGAAGAAGAAAAACGGGGGAGAAAAAAACAAAAAACAAAAAACAAAAAACAAAAAACGGCCTGGCACTAACCAGAAAAAGAAGACTCGATTGGCCAGAAAAAAAGACTCGATTGGCGGTTCTGAGAAGGGGAAGCGGTGTTTGACTAGTTGGTAAGAGCCCCCTCCTCGTCTTGCCCGCCAAAAAAACAACGCAAAGTCGGCATAGGGCGGGAGTTGTCGTTCCAGAACCCCAACGGCGCGATAGGGCGGCGTTGCGGCGACGGCTTGCTTCACCAAGTTGCCTGCTGCGGCATCATCAATTGCGCCAGCTCGGTTCTCAGTGCCAGGTCCTGGCCAAACTTTTAGGTAGCAGGAGTTCCAATCCAAACCACTTCTTGGGCCGGCCCCGTTTTCGGATCCCCCCAAACATGTCTACTTGTGGGTTAAATGGCAAGAAATCCAAGCACTCAACGCCTGGCTGAAAACCTAAGGAACTGGGGCGCCAGAGCTCAAAGAAGCAAAGCGTCCAAGGCTGCTAGGGTCGGGGTTGGGATCCCTCGAAACCTGCGGAATGTCGCCAAAATATGAAACGATTCTCGTCAAGACATGAGGGGGATTTCCTCCCGGTTTACTCCCTTGCCGGGATTTGCATGCAACTGCCCCGCCAAAGGGACCACAGGGTATTGGGCATTCTCACAGACATGCTGCCGACTCGATTTCCGCGCCTCCTCGTGGAACGGGCGCTCCAGGACACGCAACCACTCGGCGTAGGAGTTCTGGATCACGTCCATCCTGCCAAAGAAACATGCGGCTCTGGTGCTCCCAGCGAACATGAAACCCACCAACCTGCTTGATAGAAATGGTCTTTAAGCTTCAACCTGAGCAAAGAGGGTTGCCTTTTGGGGGAATTTATGAAGGAAAACCAAAGGAAACCGGGCCAAAAGCGCAAAAAAACAACATATGTTTGTTGGACCCCTTGGTGGACAACAAAGAAATCACTTGGATCATGCAACTCTCGGCCACCTGAGGTGTTCCTTGGGTTCCATTCGGCGCCAGGGATGCGCATGGGTCCGTTGGGATCACAGGAGCCGACGGCTTCCCTGTTCCTCTCCCTGCCAAGTCATGGAAGTGCACATCAAACTTGAAAGACTGCCACCTTAAGGCCCCAAAACTCCACTTCCAGTGTGAAGAGGGCAAATGCAAGGCGCGGATAGGTTGCAGACCTTAGACTCTTGAATGATGACTGAGTTTGTTTTCAAAGTGCCGCCATTCCAATTTCTGTGCGCGCGGACTGGAAAAATATTTCAGCCATGGTAAACAGTTACTTGCTTCCCCTTAGACATGGGACTCACATGAGTTTCTGGTTGCCACCGCCTGATGCTCATCGGCATGTTGGCCAGAATGTCGGCCTCGGGAGAACCCCGCGCATGATTTCTTCGGCTCGGTTTTTTTTTGCAGTTGAGTGTGTCTTAACATGGGGGGTCCCGAAATTCATGTGTGTCCATGTTGAATCCCTTTAAACCAAACCCCTTCAATGGTCAGCTTCCCTCCAAGTAGTGGTTTAGATTGGTGGCTTGGATTGGTGGTTTGGCAGTTGAGGAGGGGTTTCCCATCTGCCCTCTGCAAGAACCAGTGGACCAGTGGTTCAAATCCCCAAACCACCTATCCAAACCAAGCCATAACCCCTCAAAATGCATCGCAACCTTTCTTCACTTCGACGGCCTCTCTTTGGTTTGCCGAGTAGATACGAATGCTTTGTCAATCGGAATGGTTGAAAAATCCCAAGAGGTGCTTCCAGGTTCCCGGTTTGGTCCAGGACAAAAAGAAAACCTGCCTTTGCGTTTCGGAGCGGGCTTGCATCACATGCCTGATTTATTTTACTGCATTGTCAGACACACGGTTATAATGAGAAAGAAAGAAAAGAAGAAGAAAAAGAGAGAAAAACGGGGCCCACAACTCAATGAAAGCGTGCCTTTCCGCGTGTTTCAAAACGGCGTTCTTTCCCATCCCCGGGTTTCATGAGTCATACTCCAAACCCGGTCTTCAACTGGTCGATGTTTCTCGTACGCTGAGCGCCAGGACCTCGTTGAAGATGGACTTCTTTTGCAGGACGTACTGGGTGTGCTCGCGGATCGCCATCCTACATCCCAGGTGGGAGACCCATCTTCCTGGGAAGCGTTTGGTAGAGGGAGCCAGTTCGCCATTCCGCATTTCCTGACTTGGCTGGAAGATGCTGGAAGTGGGACCCCGGCCACAAAGACTCGACTCCCCTTCTCTTTTTTTTGCCTGGGGAGTGGAGAAGAAAAAAGGGGCCCCAAAAAGCAAATTATGAACTCTCACATCCTGGAGAGCGTGAGGGCCGCAAACGGAGCGAATTCTGGGGATGAGAGCAGTTTGCAGAGCGCCCCTTGCGCTCCTCAAATACCGAGGGATGCGGCGGCCAGCGCACCATTCCTGGCTGAGATGCCATGCCGGTAGCACCAAAGGATACCAACAAAACACGAGGAGTCCAGCCGAAAACGCAGTCACAATCAAAAAACCGATCGGTACTTGTCTACATGGTTGACCCAATTCCGTGTACGGCAAAGATACTGGGCGAACTTCCGCCGCCGTTTTGGCAAGGGGACCGGCCCTTAACCTTCGTCTACCCGAATCAGCTTGGAGCCAGTGGTTCGCATGAGCTTCGGGTTCAAGGATCTTCCTAACACCCTTCAGTCGGCCAAGGGGTACCATGGGAGTCTTGCAGGTTGCGAAAACGGACCATAGACTACGGGATGTGTCGCTTTTTTGGGGGGTGCCCCCGTGTTTTTCTGGTGGATTCAAAGGAAAACCACAAAGGAAGATCACCATTTTGGAAAAGTCCGAAAAAGAAACACAAGGCACACACACAGACAAACTGCGCCACTGTGTTTTTCCTCTCTGTAAAACAGCAGACAGTAAGAGAACTCTTCCCAATCGATCTAAGCTGATTAATTCATTGCAACAGCCATTGCAAACCCACTTTCGTCCTGCAGACCTCTGCTGCAAGCTCCCTCCTCCAAAAAAATATGTTTGGACTTGTTTGTTGTTTCTTTTTGTTTAAGGGGAAGAAGAAAAAAAAGTTCTAGCTTGTCTAAAAAACAAACTCACTTTGGGACTCCCAAGCCTCTGCGGTTTCGACCCCGCCGCGTCGCTGCTTTTGTTTCGCGGGCGCCTTGATCTCGTTGACTCGCTTGTTGGTCTCGTTGGCGCGAGGGTTCGCGGACTCCAGCAGGCAGGTGACCTGAGATTCCGCCGAACGCATGGCTGTGAGAGGCGCCTCCCAGAGCGGAAACGACCAAAGCAACACCCCACCCAACAAGAGGTAAAGCAAACAAACAAACAAAAAGCAAAAAGACAAGAGAAACCAAAGAAAGGGGGGAGAAGAAGGAAGACAAAACCAGAAACCAAGCAAAACGAAGCAAGAAAGAGGTTCCAGAACTCCCACCAAAACCAACTAGAAACCTTTCGCAACGCCCAGAGAAAGGAAACCTAAGACCAAGAAAGCTCCGAAACACTGAAGGCAAAAGGAGCGGCAAAAGGATGGCGCTGGTCTGAAAGATCCGTGGCCAAGGCGAAGACATCCACTGCTCTTCGCTTAGAATCGGAGTCTGACCCCGAGAAAAACCGAAACCCCGAAACCCGCGAAACCCCCAAACCAACCCAAGCCAAGCAGAAACCCTCGGAAGACAAAGAAAAAAGACCTGCCGGTTCTCAGCAGGGCATGAAGGAATGATACCTATGAATCATCCCCGAATTGTTGTCCTTAGGGAATCGCCAAAACCGGTCAACCGGCCATTACTTGCTGAGCAGCACCAAGCAATCGCAACACTTGGCCCTTGACAGGAACCCAACCCACCTGAGCGAAGTTGCAAACCAGTAAACCCGGGCAAACTCGTAGCCCCTAGCAAAAAGGAAGTGGTATGTAGCTGTGGGTCACTCCTGGTGGAAACATGGGCCAAAACCTGCGGTTTCCTGGTGGTTTGATTTTGGCCCATACCCATATACCGTGGAAGGACCAAATCCTGCACCGCCCAAAGAACCTATTCCACCTGAGCTTCGGGATCGGAGTTCGGAGTGCGAGTCGCTACATGGCACCCAACTAAAAAGCCGAAGGGGTGGACAACTCTCCGCTGTGACTTGCCCCCCCCAATTCACCTCAAAGTCGGGGTCACCATGCTCCTTCAAGAGATCTCCTTTTGAATGGCACATATTGCCTCGAACCCCCCCAGAGAAAAATGAGCTGGCCCACAAACGCGGCAAACCATGAAGCCAGTAATTAAACCCCAAAGTGAAAAATCCGCCCTTCCAGCTGTTTTCTCTTCCAAAACATGCCCGAGTTTGCGTTCCCATCGGACCATCGGAGCACTGCCCCATCGGTTTTGGACACCAAGTCGATGCAAGCGCCAAGGCGCCGAGGAGAGGATGAAGCCGAAGGCCGTGGCTCCGAAGAGCTGCAGCATGATGCAGAAGAGCCGCTCTTCCTCGCCCCGCCCGGCCGCCAGCCGCCAGCCGGCCAGCCGGGCAGCCAGCCGGGCGGCCAACAGTCAGACTTCAGACTTCTCCCAGCGCTTGGAGCTTTGCAAAGGTTTGCAAGGGGCCATCCATTTGGAGGCCTGGTGACTTATCACTTTTGGCAGTCATCACTTTTGGCAGTCACTTTTGAGGGTCAACATGTCAGGATGTCACTTTGGACCAAGTACAGTCTGAACATGCGGGGGTTGATAACATCACGGCCCTTTGTGGAAAATATGACCACCAGTCACAACATGTCACAACAATGAGGTTGCCTGCATCAACAAAACAGGTCCGTAGTTTTGGCAAACCCCCCTCCCAAAAAAAAACGAGTTCGCTCAGATAGTACCCGCATCACCCGTCTCTGCAGGAAAAACATCAATTGGATGGCTGCGGTGCGTGAATCCTTTCCCCCCTGAAAACGATGGCCAGCCTTGATGTGTTACCCGCCCACACACAGAGTCAGGGAAGATCACAACCGCTTAAAAAAAAGTCTCCAGAAGAAACGACTCCAGTGGCCATGGGAAACAAAGAAACACACACCCCCGCAACACACCTCAACCCTTTCTTTTTTGAACTTGATCTGAAAGGGGTCCCCCCTGCCCAAGGCCACTGGGTGGGTCGGACGCTTGACCTCCAAGCCCCGCGCAGTGTTCTTGGCCCAGATGTCCCCATAGCCCACCGCCATCATGGTCGCTGTAATAAAGTGGAAGGAGGCGATGTACCTCGCCCAAGGCACACAGCGTGGTCTTGCCGCTGGATTTTTGGGGGGCCTTGGTCATAGGCGTCCTTTTAGGGGAAATAGATGGGTTTCCCTGGTATATGAGAAAAAACCATCAGGCAAACCAGGAATCGCCATCTATTTTTCGACCAAAACAACCAAAAAAGACACCTATGGGCTTGGTGTGCAACAGACTGTATGTGTCACAATAGGGATAAGGGCACCCCCAAACCGGTTCTGCCTTTGCCTTTCCCATTGCATCAACACAGAAGAAGAGTGCCCTAGAAAAAATGCGCCCTCATGTTTGGAGTCGGCGCACTTTGAGACCAGGCTGAACTTGTCCACGTTGTAATCCCTCACGCACAACGACCGTTCAACGACTCTCAGTCCATGCACGGCGACTTGGCATATGAAAGAATTGGCTCGAGCCGCACACAGGCGCGCCGCCACCTTTTGTGTTCACTCGAGCAAAAAGCGATCGCAAAGATCCAGTTTGGGCGCTTCTGGAAGCCGCAACAACTCGAAAGAAACTCGGAAGAACCTCGAAGCTGATGAAAAGTCGGCATGTTGCAAGTTTGAAATGCCTCAAGGACTTGCATCTCCACCTCCAGCCGAACAGTTGCAAGGCGGTTGCGCTAGACAAAGATTGTCGGTCATCCCCTTGGGAGAGCCGCAGCCGCTGAGGGCCTAAGGGGCGTAAGGGGCCTTTCTGGGCAGGCGCGCCGCTCGTTGCCCGCCTTCAAGAACAGAGATTCCTACAAGGGCGTCTAATCAGGAGCCTTTCGGGCCCAGGTTGTTGTCTGGGTCCTTTTACGCCTGCCCTGGCCAAAAACTGCAAGGATTCTGCCCTGCGCCTCGGCTGTGGAGCGATGGAAAGGGTCCCTAATTGTAACATGGCAACCCTTCGCTCATTTCTATTCACCAGTGGAGCCGCATTTTGTCCACAATTCCAGCCCCAAAGCACAGCCAGCCCCACGAGAACTGATTTCGTGAGGGGTGGGTGTCGGAAGGTTGCTGGCGGGACTCATCCAGCTGGCCGCCTTCCAACTTTCCAGGCGCTTCGTCGAATTTCGGTAGCGCCGCGCTACGCGGCCACCGTCTTGGTCCGCGCGCTGACCAGGAGCCTCTCCCCAAACCCGGTGGATCGAACTAGGCCATTCGCTTTTCGACCTGTGGCGTAAAATGCGGCGACCCTGGGCGCGGTGTCCCTTTAACTCCCCGGAATGGTACCCTCGGAAAAGAAAAAGAGGGCACACCCGCCAACCTGACCTGGAAAAAACCGGCTTGGGAAGGATATCTTCTCGGCAAACACTGCCGGTATGGTACACTCTGAGTCTCTCAGAACTGGCGGGTAACTCACGCGCATGTCGCGAGGTCCTCGCTGAGCATGGCGAGACACGTCTCTCTCTCTCTCTCTCTCTCTCTCTCTCTCTCTCTCTCTCTCTCTTTTGTCGGTTAAACCCGCCGAAACTCTTCAAACAAGAGGTACTCATGGTACCCCAAAGAATGAGGTCAATTGAAGTGAGCCAAAGTTGAGGGCGACGATTTCTCATCCAATCAAACTGGGGCACTTTGCAACACCACCGTCAGGAAATCCTAAACGGGTTCCAATAAACCGCTTGCACCAAAGAACAATTCCTGTGGTTCTCGCATCTCACAATTATTCGTTACCCATACCGAGTTGGTCCCTCCCCCAAACCGAAAGGGTGCCAAACCCGTGCCAAACCCGCGCGAAACCGACCAAACCCGCGGGGGCACATCCCCGTTCTTGATCGCCTCCTTGGTGGCGAAGCTGATGATCAGCTGGTCCAGGAAGGCGGGGTTGGAGAGGACGCAGCCTACGCCCATCCCCCATCTCCGTCTCACAGCCGGGAGAAAGGAAGGAAATTCAGCTCAGGTGATACCCCGGAGCCTATCTGGGCTGAGACCCCAAAGCTTTCAGCTGTTGGGGAAAAAAAGCCAGCTGGAGGCTTCTCCACAGCCCAACCGGGGGGCATAAAAGCCCGAGGCAACGTTCCCAACAACCCCCCCCCAATGCCAAATACAATTCTCCTCGCCTCGCTTCTGCGCGGCGAGGGTCACTGCCTCCTTCAAGGACATGCCCATGGCTCCAGCCAAAAAGGCCACCGTCGCCTCAAAAACTCGACTCGACTCGCCCGATTTGCATCGATCTGAGACGGCCACGTACGTCTTCACGACGGCCAAAAGGGTTCTCATGGGGTGTGTTTTTTGCATTGGGGACCCCAAAGGAGTGGACATGGAATTATGTCCAAACATCTTTTCTCACCACGCCCACCCTTGTTGGACGGTCCGGAAGGGCTTTTCAGGCCAAACGCGTTGCGCATCGAACATCCTGGGCTCGCCGCTTGCTTGCCTTGGGCCCCGGGCCCAAGCAGATCGATTTACCCCCATGATGCAGTGCACCAAAACCTCACGATCGACATTACATTCGATGGAAGCGCCGACAAAATTGAGCACCCATTTGACTGATGACTTTCGAAAAAATGGACGGGTTTGTGTTACCTGAGTCAGGTTTGTTTCAAGGAAATTACACCAAGGAATGCCACTTGTGTTTTGCTATTATTATTATTATTTTTGGGGGGGGTCCCATTTCGACCCCCATGTGTGGGTTTGAAATGTACTGGGGTACCATGATTCATGTCCACCATTTTCGAGGGCCTCAGGTGCAGGTTTGGGCATGTGGAAAGGCCCCTGTGCGAAGCGCTCTTTTGCCCAGCGTGGCTATAGCACTGAACCATTGGCCACTCACAAAGCCAAGAGTGTCCTTCCAGCCAAAACCACTTAAACAGTAACCCCGTTCGCCGCCAGCTGCAGTTGCGCTCCTTTCGACTCAATGGCAGACTCCCATGAGGCTGCGCTTCGGTCACGGAGCTTGCTTAGCTTCAGGTCTGGTCAGAGCACAGTCAATATACAACTGCTGGTTAGTCCATCCAAGGACAAGACATGCACAGAACAGTACAATAAGAAGACAGCCTCACAGGTCTCATTTCTGGCCCCTGGGCACGCCCGACTGCACCCCGCACCCCCGCCCGGCCTTCCGCCCATGCCGCCTGCACTCGCTCAGGAAGTCCAGGATCTGCGGGACGCACGTCTTTCGGCGCGTGACAATCGGCGTGACGCGGAGATTTGCCAAAAGCGAGGGATGAGTGGAGATGAAAACTCCAGAGACAAGGGCGAAATGGGGTAATTAGAGAGTAATAACCTAAAAGAAATGAGATAGTAAGAGAGTACTCCGTGGCCGGGGGATTCTGTCCCAGTTGTGAGCATTACTACCGGTGGGAGCTGGAGAGCCAGGGTGACAATGAATTTCACCCAAAAGAAATGGGATAATTCGAGAGTTCTCAAGGCTTTGCGGGGAATGTAGTGAGTCCTCCCGAGGGACCAATAAACTACCAGAAATGTTGACCGAAGCTCAAATTGACCCAAAGTGGCTGAAGTTTCTTGAACTTTCCCCCCACCCCCTCCATTAATACCTTCCTATAGTCCTAGCTCAAACCCAGGATTCAAATACTTCTACATCATTTCACAACGTGAACCTAACCATTGATACCCTTCCTGCAATCGGAAGACACTGGAAGCTCAGATTCACTGTCAGGTATCATGAATTCCTGGCAGGAAGGGTGTTCAATGGCGATTTGAAGTTTGTGAGCCAGAGCCTCAAAATTGGTTGGACATGAACCCCCGTCTGATGTCCAAAGGCTCCGGGACAGATTCGACCTCCCACCTGTTCCATCACTCACTCCCTGAGATTGGCGAAACCAAAAAATGAACTTTTCATTTACCACTAAGATGGTCCTCCCCAAAAAAAGTATGAAGTCCAGCCCCTTGTGCAGGTTGCTCCGGCATGGCCCAAAAGTAAGTCCACAAACTCAGGGAGTGAGATGGCTGTGGGTCAAAACCAATGGTACCATTCTGGGGTGGGTGCACCGCCCATTTTACTGGGGATTGAATCAGAGGTTCACTGGGGTTTCCTGGGTTGTGACCCATGGCCAGATCAGTACCGCCAACACCGCCCTTTTTCCGCGGCATCCTTTTCCATCGCTCCACGGCGTCGCCCAAAGCGTCGGGGTCCCTCACCGGGGCTCCGCGTCCGGGTAGAGCTCTCCAGGCTTCTCCGCCGTGAGGTCGTAGACGTACTCTTGCCGGGTGGATGAGAAGGGCAGCAGCCTTTCCCTCAGGTGGGGTGGGTTCCCAAATACTCCCGCACCGGGCTTGAAATCCCCAGGAAAAATCCCAACTGACGTTTGCCCGCCGTGGTTCCAAGAAGCGTTGGGCTTCCCCGTTGAAAGGGCCAGGCCAACGTCTCCCCTGCTCAGGGCAACACAAGCCGGCTCCCAGCTTCCAACTCGCTTTCTCACCCCAAGCCAGTGTTTGAAAACTGCATTTGCAATGGGAGTTTCTCCTGGTCTCCTTAACACAAGCTAGTTGGTTGTGTGTTGCATCTGATCGTTGCTCGATTGGGAGACAACCAGGTACTTTCTGGGTAAATTGCACGCAAGAAAAAAGAAAACTGCGTATGTGTTGTTGCATAACGAATTGCATCGAGATGGTTACTTGTAGTTTAAAGAATCTCACTTGCTTGTGGCAGCTAGGCCCTGGTGCCGCGCTCACAAGCTTTCACAACTCGCCAACATTTAGCAAGAGCAAAAACATGCGAAGAGCCAAAAAACCTCAAAAACAAACGCACAAACGAAAACATATCTTAGACCAACTCAAAACAAGCGGCACCCCTTCTCCGGCCCCAGGTCGCCCAAGAAAGTGCCAACAGAATTCCATGATTGAACACATATGGCAGACTACCTTTAAAGTTGTGGACTGATGTCTCCAAAAATTGGCGCCAATTCCTGGTAAGTCTTTGGGGTTACCTGACGTTCGGGGCGTCCTGGAAGACCATTTTCTTTTAAAGGGGCCCCGTGTCAGGCTCCATGTGACGGGGGTGGGGGGTGCTCAGTGCTCACAACTGCCATTTGCTCAAGCCCCCTGCAAAAAAAAACATATGTCCAGTAGTGAAATCGATTCCCTTTAAAACCAACAGGGGAAAATAAAATACACCAGCATAGACCCCAGATAGCACACCACTGCTACGAACCATGACGCAGCATCATAATGGTTCCCGCGGCATGATGATGATGTTGACAGCATCTTGATGATGTTGAGCCACGAACGATTCCGCGCTACATATCTAGCAGGAAAAAGGCAGAGACGACGCCCTGATGAGTTCTGAGTTCGGCAGCATCATGATGCGGACAGCATCATGATGACGCTCACAGCATCATAGTTATGGCAAAGGCAGCATCCTGATCAAAATTACCACAGCCACGAATCATCTTGCGA